GAGACGTGTTCATATCAAAGACATTGGAACACTTGCCTTTAGACATTGTTTTATTGTTGCTTTGCTGCTTTCTTTTTTTTTGTTTTTACTTGCTTTTTGAATGTTATACAATTACACATCTTCCAATCCCAGGGTTAAGTGAATGTGGGTTGAAGAAATGAAGGCCAAACGTTAGACGAGGCTCAAAATGGTTGATGAAGAAATGGAATGTGATTGAACGGTTAACAGGGAATGACATGGTTGCAAAGGTGCCTCAAGTCATTGGTGTACCTTGGGTTTAGTTCGGTAATTGATTTTTTTTTTACTTTATTTTTTTTTTTATTTTTTTTATTTTTTTTTGTTGAGAATGAATGAATGAATGGAAAATTCTATGATCGAGATGTAAAGGAAAATTGCTCATTTTATTAATGGAAAAGGTGAACAAAACACATGAAACATATAAAAAAAAATTCAAAGTGGAAAACCTATGCTAGACATGAATGGGGGAGTTGAGATGAATGATAAAGAAAGAAATCATGAAATCTTGCACGAAGGATCTACTGTGCGCCTTGTGTTCATTACTTCTTGCCGCCTGGAGGGACAGGAAGTTTGTTTGCATCCACCAAGTCTTGAATGACGTCCTTCAAATTCCAACATTGCTCCGTGGTGTGGCCCCTTCCTTGATGGTACTTGCAATAGGCATCAGGATTCCATTTGGCGCTCCTTTCTTCAGGTTTTGGCACCCCCCATATGGCACCGGTTCAGCCTAAACCGGTGCCCAAAACCGGTCTAGAATTGGGCGGGTTTTTACCAAAAGAGAAAAGGCACCGGTTCAGCCTGAACCGGTGCCAAAAATAAAAAAGGCATCGGTTTGAACCGGTGCCAAATTCAAAACAAAAAAAAACCGCGTCTTTTCCTCTTTTCTTCCTCTCTTTCTCTTTCCTTCCCTTCATTCGTTCATCCCTTCTTTCGTTCTCACTTAGAATAGTCGTGCCTCCACCTTTTCCCTCCACCACAGCCGCCACCTTCACCGGCGCTTTCAAGTGCCTAAACCACCGCCGTGAATCTCCCTGCCCTGCCCTCCACTGCCTTTCTCTGTGCAAAACAAACAACAACAGCTGCAGCGCGCACCGCCTTCACCTCCACCACCGCGCACCGCCTCCACCTCCACCAGCGTGCACCGCCTCCACCTCCACCAGCGCGCACCGCCTCCACCTCCACCAGCACGCACCGCCTCCTCCACCAGCGAGGGTCTTTTCATTCTCTCATCCCCTCAGCTTCTTCCACCTCCAACTAATTTAGGGTAAGTTCATCTTTTCAAGTTAATGGGTTCATCTTATTTTAGATTAAAATTGTGCTTAGATTGTATATGAAATGCAAAGAAAATTAATGGGTTCATTATTTTAGATTAAAATTGTGCTACATTGTTGGGATTAAAATTGTATGTTTGTGCTACATTGCTGGCTGTGAAATTTGTTTATGATGCCTTGTTTTGGGGAGTTTGGTTTTTGATAATTGAATCAGTTTAAGGATTTATTACTGAATTTTGTTGCTTGGATTCGATTTCAGCTGAATTCTGGCAAAGTTCTTGCTGTTGGACCTGGCCTTCGTGACAAGACGGGGAATCATATTCCTGTTGCTGTCAAAGAAGGGGATACCGTGAATACGGAGGAACTACAGTGAAGCTTGGTGAAAAAGAGTGAGTTTATTTTTCTCCATGCACTTTTCTTTTTGTTCCAAATGGTGATTTCTTAGTCAAATTATTGTGATTGAATGCTTTGACTCTTGATCCTCGATTGAATATATTAGTAATTTTGCATTACCTTGTTCCTTAGTCGAGTTTTTGTATGTTTTAATGTGTATATTAGTGACCTTGCTTCTACTTAGTTGTGAATAAATTAGAAAATTGTGAATAAATTAGAGAATTGTGAATAATTTAGAGAATTGTGATTAAATTAGAGAATTGTGCATAAATTAGAGAAATAATGATATTGCCACTTAATTAGTTGTGAATAAATTAGAGAATTGTGAATACATTAGAGATTTGTGAATATATTAGATAATTAGTGACGTTGCTAATTTTTGATTTTTTAATATATAGATTCATATGTGAATTGAAGCAAGAGTTTAATTAGCTTGAGGACTACATATTGAGCTCAAGTGGGTATTTGCTATATTGGTATGACTACTAAACTTTACTTACCTATATTTCTTTCTATTCATCCATTTAATAAAAGTTTATTCATGAAATTGCAACTTGTGTATTGTTTAATTGCAAATAAATACAACAATATATAGAATACTTGAATTGCATCATCATATGCCTAGATACCCGTTCAAGGCTTTCTCATTAGGAGAAAGTCTTGAATAGTCCCCGGTTGGGACTGTTCTTGAATGTGTACTCTCACTTAGGTGGTGAATGTATGTTTTCTTTTCGATTTTAAGGAACATCTTGGCTTACCATTTCCTCACTATGTTCTCTGGGTACATATGTGGGTAATTAATTATCTACATCGTGTACTTGGAGAACTAGGGGGAAATGCTGCCGGATTTTCCTTAAAATTGGAAGTTGACATACATTCACTAGTGAGAGTATACATTCAAGGATGGGTTAGGTTGGAGTGATAAGGACCCTTTAGAAACATGCATTTTTTCACTATATGAATGGTATATTCACGTTTTGTACTTGAATTTGATTTACATAAAATATGTAGCACTTACACATTATAATTATATGGTGCTATATATATGTTTAGAGACAATTTACTAAATGGAGAAGGATCGTGGTTGGATGTATGGTAGACGCGATACATTGGAATTTTGGAATGGGGTTCAAGAGTTTTGCGAGAGGGCTTTAACTTATCAACGCAAACTGGGAGGCAAAGGCCTTTATTGTCCTTGTGTTGATTGTAATTGTGTGAATGTGGTCGATAGTGTTGAAATCATTAGAGATCATGTATTATGTCGTGGGTTTAGGCAATTATACCATGTGTGGATTTGGCACGGAGAAAGTGGAGAGTACAGTGGGGATCTTGATCAGAATGATGTGCGTGTTAGAAGCACTGAGATTCATGTGGACGAGGAATACGAGAATGATGAGTATATTGTTGATAATGGTGAGGATGGAGCCGATGAAGATCAGGCGGATGAGGTCGAGGATGAACAAGTGGATGAGATGTTGCAAGGTGTTGAAGGTGAAGTGTTTGAATTATTATCGGAGGCTTCCAAAAAGTCTTTGTATCCCGGGTGCAAAAAATACTCCAAACTATTGGCCGTGCTAACACTTTTCAACATTAAGTCGAAGCATGGGTGGACGGACATCAGTTTTACTTCTTTGTTGACCGCATTAAGTGATATGTTGCCTGATGGGAATGAAATTCCTAAGTCTTATTATTACGCAAAGAAGCTCATGTGTCCCTTTGGTTTGGAGTATAAGAAGATACATGCATGTCCTAATGACTGTATTTTGTATCGAAATGAGTATGAAAAACTGCAGGAGTGTCCACAATGCAAGCGGTCGCGGTACAAGCGCATGAGTTGCAATCCTGGCACAGAGGGACCTCCTGCTAAGGTGTTGTGGTATCTTCCCATTATTCCAAGGTTTAAGCGTTTGTTCTCAATACCAAAAGACGCTAAAAACTTAAGGTGGCATGCAGAGGGAAGAAAGAAAAACAGAATGCTGAAGCATCCAGCTGACTCTCCACAGTGGAAGAACATTGATTTGAAGTTTGAGGAATTTGGTAATGAAGTTAGAAATTTAAGGCTTGGGTTGTGCACGGACGGGATGAATCCATTTGGCACTCTTAGTACCCAACACAGCACATGGCCGGTACTTTTAGTGATTTATAATTTGCCTCCTTGGCTGTGCATGAAACGTAAGTATGTAATTCTTTCATTGCTAATAACTGGTCCTAAGCAACCTGGAAACGACATAGATGTTTACCTTGCGCCGCTTATTGATGACTTGAGAAAGATGTGGGACGAAGGGGTTTCCGTTTGTCTCTTTATTAGCAGAAAGATTCAGAGGCTTTAAGACCAAGTTGACTAATCGGTGGATCCACAAGAAGAAGAATGTGCAAACAAAGAAGAAGAATGCCAAAGAGGATGACCGTCTCCCGTGGCAAATATGGCCGACCGTGTCAAAAGATGATTGGGAAGAGTTCGTTAGAATGAAGAGTCAAAAGAAAGCCATTGTAAGTTTGTGTAAATATGAGATAATAGCTTGACACTTTTTGTATTAATGAGACTAACATTTTTTGTTTTGTAGGAACTTCGAGAGCAAAATCAAGCGAATGCAGAAAAGAAGGAATACGTCCATCGTATGGGTCCTAAGACTTTTGCTGAAAAGAGACCTTAGTGGGCCGCTTCGAGTGTATACCCTAAAGTGCTTCTAGTGGCATCGAAGGAACCCTCTAGTTCCACGATCACTACATTGGTGAGTCTTGCCGGTGATTTCTTTTTTTCTCTCCATTCGTTTGATAAGAAAAGCGGAAAATGGTTCATCAAGGGTCCGGAAGCCAAAAAACTGGCGGATAAGCTTGTAAGTTACCTATGAATTGTTGAAATTAAGTCACTTTTGCATCTAATCACTATACAAACCATTAACTGTTTTACTGACCTCATTTTTCCTTATGCTATAGCTTGAGCACACTCAAGAGATGGTGGAGGGAAAATTTGAACCAAGTGTGGAGAATGACCCTTTCTCCATGGCTTTGGGAAGACCATACCATCCAGGACGAGTAGTAGGTTCGGGAGGGTCATTGCTTGGATGGAATAAGGTGATGGGTCCCAAATACACAAAATCGGGTAGATCTCAAGCCAGTGTTAACTCACCGGGGGAGTTGGATGCCAAGGTGGCATCAATTAAGGAACAAGTACGCAACGAGTTAGTTGGTGAATTGAATGCTTGGGCGAAGCTGATGAACTTACCGGCTTTGCCGTTCCTCACTAGTACCCGGTCGACTCATGTTCTGAACCAAAAGGACAAGGAGAAGGTGGTAGACATGGAGGAGATGAGATATGTGGTGAAGATGTGCCACCTGAGGTAAAATCAATTGGGTTATTAAAAGTTTTAAAATACCGAGTTAATTGAGATTTGAGGTGCAATGATTGATGTACTGTTGCAGGTTCCTACTCCTACACATGCGGACTCGAGGGAGCTTGAAAATCCAACACCGCATGAATTTCCAGAGTTACAGGTGATTTGTAACCCTCTACCTTAATGAACCGGTTTGTTATATCTATGCTGTTGTAAAAGTCCTATTTAACTATCTTCTTTTTATATATATACTTGTGTAGGAAGACACCCGGTGTGCACTTCTAGCCCCGGGGCATGCAAATAGTACCGCGTTGAGTTTGGTGGCGTATGGTAGTGCCCAACCGACGACGGGTGCTACGGCGGGGCCACATCATTACTCGGTTGGGATCGATTCAGTGGTTGCGGGATTTGAAGACATCCCACTACCCGTACCGATAGAGGAGATTGAGATAACAATGCTTTGGCAAGCTGTAGGTAGCTTCGGTGATTGGCCACGTGCATGGGTGAAGTTGATTAATAAGGAGGTAAATTATTTACTTACTTGCCTATTTTCTTCATTTCTCAACTTATAAACTCCTTGCATCTCAAAACAACTCATAATCACATATTTATAAGTGTTTGTCATTTAAAATTACATAAAAATCGCCAAGTTCTAATTTTTTTTTTTTTAAAATAAGCAACTTTCGCCGCACCGGGACACCTAGGCTATAGCAGCCACGACAGGTGGCTGCCAGACTGTTGCAGCCTCGGCAGAAGCCTGCCTTGGCTGCTGCAGCCTTGAGAGGCGGCTGCCATGGCTGCTGCAGCCTCGGCAGGTGCTGCCTATGCTGCTACAGCCATGGCAGCCGCCTGTCGAGACAGCAACAGCCCAGGCAGGCTGCTGCCAAGGCTGCAGCAGACTGGCAGCCACCTGCCGTGGCTGCTACAGCTTTTACACCCACCTATCGGGGCTGTTGTGGCTTCGGCACGGGCTGCCTTCGCTGTTCCGGCAGCGGGGGCGGCTCCCTCGGGTGTCCCGGTGCGGCTGCCGTTGCATATTTTAAAAAAAAAATTAAGCAATTTTCATCATTTCATCAAAATAAAGCCATTTTGAGCCGAAATGGCTACTCACTTGCCTATTTTATTCATTTCTCAACTAATAAACTTGTACATTCTCAAACCATATCATAATTACATATGTATTAGTGATTGTGAGTTGAAATTGCATAAAAGAAGCAAAGTTCTAATTTTTTTGGCGCATTTCATCAAAATAAAGCCAATTCGAGCCAAAATGGCTACTTACTTGCCTATTTTCTTCATTTCTCAACTTATAAACTCCTTTCATCTCAAAATAAGTCATAATCACATATTTATAAGTGTTTTTCATTTGAAATTACATAAAAATCGCCAAGTTTGAAGTTTTTGGGTCCAATTCATCAAAATAAAGCCAATTCGAGCCGAAATGGCTACTTACTTGCCTATTTTCTTCATTTCTCAACTTATAAACTCCTTGCATCTCAAAACAACTCATATTCACATATTTATAAGTGTTTGTCATTTTAAATTACATAAAAATCGCCAAGTTCTAAGTTTTTGGGTCCAATTCATCAAAATAAAGCCATTTTGAGCCGATATGGCTACTCACTTGACTATTTTCTTCATTTCTCAACTTATAAACTCCTTGCATCTCAAAACAACTCATAATCACATATTTATAAGTTTTTTTCATTTGAAATTACATAAAAATCGCCAAGTTATAAGTTTTTGGGTCCAATTCATCAAAATAAAGCCATTTTGAGCCGAAATGGCTACTCACTTGACTATTTTCTTCATTTCTCAACTTATAAACTCCTTGAATCTCAAAACAACTCATAATAAATATTTATAAGTGTTTGTCATTTGAAAATACATAAAAATCGCCAAGTTCTAAGTTTTTGGGTCCAATTCATCAAAATAAAGCCAATTCGAGCCGAAATGGCTACTTACTTGCCTATTTTCTTCATTTCTCAACTTATAAACTCCTTGCATCTCAAAACAACTCATAATTACATATTTATAAGTGTTTTTCATTTTAAATTACATAAAAATCGCCAAGTTCTAAGTTTTATGGTCCAATTCATCAAAATAAAGCCATTTTGAGCCGAAATGGCTACTTAGTTGACTATTTTCTTCATTTCTCAACTTATAAACTCCTTGTGATTAGGGGATTTTGCTCCCACCAATCGGAATGCGCCACGTGGGCCAATCAGGTCCTGCCAAGTGTCCCCCAGTTGGAACTGTCAGGGCTTGCCACGTGGCACGCGCTTATTCGTCCACCCTGGACCTATTATGTCATGACATGTGGCATACTCCATGCCTAATGGAGAAACCGGCCACCCAGGCCCAACTTCCGAGGGAAGCCCAATCAGCCCTAGGTTAACCTAAACCTAGGATGGGCACGTTTCCCAAGGTTATAAATACCTCCCTTAATCCTCATTAAGGGGGATATAACGAAAAAACACATTAATTACACACAGTAATAACCGGCTGATCTCGCTAACAAAGCAGATTACCTACGTTAAACACTCTCACCTAGAGAGACCTAATCACTTTAATTTCCGCATTAATTACTCCTTAATCAAGTACTAACTTGACCGTTGGAGGCGGAGCTCCCAGGAGTCTCCGTTATTTTGCAGGTACAGGCGTCCGGTTCCAGTCTCGGAATTGTAACTCTCCCGCAGGACATCAGAAAACCCCGAAACATCTGGCGCCGTCTGTGGGGAGAGTACTTCTGAGATGGCATCTAAGTCTGTACCAACTTCTGAAGAGAGGCGTCCCCTAGACGACCCTCAAGTTCAGCCGGACCATGATACCGAGAGTGAATTTGAAGTTGAAGCTCACACAGCTTCAGACGGGACCCTAAGGGCCCGACGTACCCGTCATACTGAAAGGAGGGAACGGGAACATCTTCAAACTGGAAGTGATCCAGCAGGCTCACCGCCTGTTCGGCAACAGCCGACTGATGGGTCTGCTCCCATCACAAGAAACGAACTCATGACCTTCATGAGGACATTCAAGGGAGAGATTCAAGAGTTGATCAACAAGAAGCCGCCTGCTCCAGTTAAGGAGCAGTCGGCCAAGAAACCCTCCACTTCACTGAAGAGGAAGCCAGTTCAAGGGCGAGAGACGACTCCTCATCCTAAATCTAGGAAGCGGGAGCCACCTGCCCTTGATTTCACAAAATTCCATTTTCCTACAGGAAATAGGAAACCTGTTCGTCATATTCAGGCGGACGGGTCGAAGCAGACATTCACAGACGCTCGGCTACTGCTAGAGCAGAAGAAGAGTGACCGATTGTTCGAGTCGGCCTCTACTTCAAACTTTCAAGACAGTCTGCGAAATGCCTCGATGAGGCATACTCAGTCGTATCATGAGAGTCAGTCAGGCGGCACCTCCCGTCAGTCCGGCTTTCATAGCGACCAGGCGGTACCAAACTTACCATTTGTGCCGCAACAACAGTATTTTTTGCAGCCACCTCCGTTTGGTGGACCTGCAGCAAAAAACGTCCAACCTATGGACTGGCAGCTACGGTTGCTTAGACTTGGTGAACAGCCGTCGGCCTTCTCCAAGGAAATTACTGATGCCGCTCAGCCGGCCAAAGTGAAAAAATGTACTAGTAGGCGCCTATGACGACACTACTAACCCAGAAGACCATCTGATGGCATTCACCAACCTGATGTATCTTCAAGGGTTGGATGATCCCACTTGGTGCAAGTGTTTCCCAGCGACTCTCAAAGGAATCGCACAACAATGGTTCGGCAACCTGCCGACTGGTTGTGTAAATAGCTTCAGGACGCTTGCTTACTTGTTCACCTCCAACTTCGCCATGAACATCCCTGCGAAGAAAACGACCCTTGATTTAGGAACAATTCAACAGGGTGAGAAGGAGGGGCTTCGTTCTTACATCAGGCGGTTTAACCTGATGAGAATACAGATTCAAGGGTTACCGGATGAGGTAGCCTATACTGACTTTTTCAGAGGTCTCAAAGACGGGTCTACCTTCAAATTTGATTTGGTTCGAAAGAGGGTGGCGACTCTTCAAGAGGCCTTGATTGAAGCAGAAGCCTATATACAGGCGACTGATCTTTGTACGGTAAAACAGTCAGACGGGAAAAGGTTCGACAAAAGAGAAGGACGACATAAACAGTCGTCAAACAAGGATGAGAAGAGAAAAGAGGTCTGGGCAGCTGATTCCTCTAAACAGCCGGCCCAGAAAAAGAAAAAAGAATTCAAACCATACTCCCCAAAGTATGCGTTTAACAAGGATAACCAGTTTATCCTAAAAGAAATCAAGGGACGGATCTCAATTGAGAAGCCGATCCCCATGAAGGGTTCTGCAAACAACCGGAACCAAGATAAATTCTGTGCTTATCATGATGATGTTGGTCATCACACCAATGACTGCATCAGTCTCATGCGGTATCTGGACCGCCTGGCTGAGCAAGGTGATCTTGACACTTTTGTCAAGAAATCTACGGGGAACACTTCCTCAAAAAAGCAGTCGGCCAAAAAGAATCAACAGGCCGACAGCTCCGATACAGATGATGCAGTCGTCTACACCATTGCAGGCGGCTTCTCAGGAGGCGGCCCCACTATAAGGGGCAACAAAGACAATATCAGGCGGTTAGATGTAAATTCCGTTCACCAAGAACGGCCGTCCAAATATTCATTTCCTGAGATTGTCATCACTGAAGAAGATCTAGGAGGGGTAAGAGGGCCGCATGACGACCCTATCGTTATTGAATGTAAAGTGGCCAACCAGAGGGTTGGTTGAATCCTCATAGATACCGGAAGCTCCTCAGATCTCATCAGTAGCAAATGTCTGTCGAAACTAAAATATCAGACTGATTGCATACATCCGGCCTCCCACCCTTTAGTAGGGTTTGGAGGAGGAGTCGTCCACCCAGTGGGACGAGTGGATTTACCCATCCGCCTAGGCGAAAAAGGGGAGGGACGACACATGGTAGTCCGGTTCCTGGTAGTAGAAGAACTCTCGGCCTACAACATGATTCTGGGTCGACCAACCCTGAATAATTCCAAGGCTGTTATAATCCCATCTCTTATGTTGCTCAAGTTTGAGAGGGATAATGGAACAGTCGGCTCCCTAAGGGGAGATCAGAGGATGGCCCGAGAGTGCTATCTCTCGGATATCAAGCCCACTGTTATGGCCACTGGGTCAAGCGGTGAAAAAACAGACCTTGACAATGTCAAGGACAGTGCGCCTGTTCAAGAAGCAGGCGGCAAGAAGAGAAAGGCATCCCAGACAGGGGCCGCAAGAAAAGAAAGAAAATAGTAATCAGTGGCAGAGGAGCGATCGGATGAGTTCCGCCCTCAGCCGGCTGGTGAGCATACGGACCTGATCTTAGACGACTCACGTCCTG